GCAGTCCCTATAAAGACTGGCAGAAGAGTGTGAAATCATCCTCAGATGTGAGCATTATGTTACAAGTGAAAACAAGTCACTACTGACTTATGCAAACTGCTGGACCTTAATATCGGCCACATGATACATCGACTGGGCCCTAGTACAAATGTTTCAGTAGGAGGCCAGCTGGATTTCAGATGGCAAGATCTGACTGTTAATTAAAGTGTTACAATAAGCCTTCATAAACCACATAATTCCTTCTTCATTAAATCAACCTTTCATATTTACAATTGAGCATGCTTCAACAGTGTTATTCACTATCATTTAATACCCATGTGTCAAACACAAGCCATGCCCGTGACACAGTCCTATTCGGCCCGTAAAATTATTTTAATTTTGTATTATTATCAGCCCGTTTCACCCTGAGATTACGCTACAGTCCCCAGCATGCACTGCAACATTGTGTGCGTTCTGACCCCCTCCCTCCAACAACAATCTATGGGCCAGCGGTTACACAAAAAGAAAAGATGTCTGGTGTCTAGTTCAAGCAAATAGGCGGTTTTAAAAAAAACTACGTAAAACAATTTATTTTTATTTAGAATTACTTTTGAATATTTTAATGTCTATTTTGCTGTTGCAGTTTTGGCATATTCTGATTAAACAATGGTCATCTCAATTCAGGTCATGGCAAAATGTTAAGTGAAAACGAAATAAAAACACAGCTGGCCCACGGATTTGCTGAGAATTTTTAATACGGCCCTTTTAGTGGTTGACTTTGATGCCCCTGATTTAATATATAGAACTTAGAATTCAGTGATTTTACCTTTGACGCCAGTCTCTGGCAGTGTCACATGAGCACCATATGTTCACTTTACAATTCACCAAGCTGCCATTCTACAAAGCTAACAAAGTCATTAATCACACAAGACACTGCTTACTTTATAGATGCACAGTAAATGTATTTAAACTGCACAAGTAAGTGAGGGAAAGGATGTAGGCGAGTCAAATCCACAAAGAAAGGCAAAGCTGAACATTGGCCATATTCAACTGTCTGTGTTATCTTTAGCACCTTATGCGTGTAGTATGGAATTTCCCCGTCCAAAGTAAGCACTTTTTTCAGCATGGATTGGAACAATACATGTCCAGGCGATTGGAAGAACAGTGAAGGTAACTTTTTGAACAAGTACAGGCTGTATGGATGAGTCTAGAGATGACCTGAGAAGTGCAAAACTGACAATGTGTACTGTCCTCTCTCTGAGAAAACATAGCTGTGGGAATAGCCAGATGATATCTGACAGCAGAGTCATTTCATACTTGGGTAGTGAAGGGGATCACTGGCACTCTTCCTGAGAAAACATCACTACACTCTGAGCTCCTTTGTCTTCAGCTGTCAAATTAGCAGCCTGTCACAATATTAACCAAGTATTGATGCTGTTGCTTTAATTGCTTGTGCTATTGAATTCAAACAGTACAGGATTATGAAAACAATCCGGTTTAATTTAAGCCACACCCACTTAACCATAATGCAGATTTTAATAGAAACAGTAGTGGTTAGTGCCAGACTGTTATGACCATTTTGTTGCCTAAACAGAAACTTATACAGATGCTGATTTTAGGGAACATCCTGATAACCGTTACTACCACCTGACCTCATTTTATATTCACATTTTAAATTTTCATTTTGTACTTTAATAGTTTTAGTTAAACTGTGCTTTACTAACAGATACGATCTCAATAAACTTTACTCAGATAAACAGCAGAAACTCAAGTCTGACCTTAAATAATATATAAATAATTGCTGGTGTGGAGTTTTGCTTTCTGTTAATGCTTCTTATTTTTTGTTATTTCTCTTCATGAAAAAGTATTTATGTGTTATAACATATTATTCTCATACTAAAGCTTCAGCCTGCACTGCTATCACATAGTTAAACAGGGAATGATTCTTATTCTAACAGTTTAAGGGTTTGCAATAGCGTCAGGAGATTAAGACTTTAAATCCCAGCTATGCTTCAGCCAAAAAAAAAAAATCAATATTTTTGCAGACACTGATAAAACTGCAGGTTGTGAATATATTGGTTGGGCCCTAACAGTCTGATCAAAATTGGATCTTTCGGCGTTCACCTTCACGAATAACTGAGGATATTAATGTTAGCAAAGATAGATTTCAACATTCTACCCTGCTCTAAGTTGAAAACTTTAACAGACCCAATGAAGCAGGGTCCTTTGAGACAGATGGCGTCATCTTTTCATTTTAGTTAAACAATACTAAACCAAAATTCTGACATTAGCATGGAAAAAGAAGATCATAACAAAGTTGCTCCTCAGCCCTCAGTCAGATCACTGGGACAGTAGCTTTCTTTTTCTTTTAAAAGGCATACTACAGTTCCATTTCTTTTCGCATGAACCACAGAACTTCCTGCCATTTATAAGTACAAGTGATCTCAATTAGGGACCTCCATGAAGGCAAGAGGCGGCAGACAGTCATGGCAACAGGAGCCAGAGGAAACTGTCTTTACATTTTCCTCCCTCGCTGCTCCAGACAGCCGGCGTGCCCCGAGTAGACAGCGTCAAAAACACGCACGCCGAAACGCGCCTGCTTTTACAGTATGCAGACATAAATGTCAGAGTCGCGCAGTTTACCAGCGTCATCCTGGCTGACTCTGACACTGATTTTTTTTCCTCCTATTGGAAGAAGCTCCAGTCCAGACTTCTTAATGCTGGCTTGGACGAAAACATGATAAATACAGGAAAGAGCACTGCTAGAGAAACACCGCTGTAATACATTGTTAAGAGTAGTGCATGAGACAGAATATAATTTATCCAGGTCATCATTCAACATAACACAAAGCCTGCCAGCAGGGGAATGAAATGTACTCAAACCCAGGCCATTTACACTCCGTCAAAAGCGCTTGTCATTTGCGAGCTATAATTAAATGTCTTGCAAAATACAGGACTGCAAGATGGGGCTCCTCATGCAGTCATATGTTTATGAACTTTGTATTTCAACAAAGAGGAGCTTGAGGGGAGTGGACAAAAAGTGTTTGTGCAGTCCGTAATGCGGGGTGTGATTTCACAAACACATTCTGTGTGCACAAGAGAAGAAACAACGGCTTAAAGGAGCTGTAACAGTAGACGTGCTGCAGGGTGCACGTTTTGTCAATAATGTAAGCTAAACCTCATGGCATGGAATGTTTGAGCAGACTTGAGTGCCCTCACATTTTCTTAAATGGCATCAATAACAAAAACAGCACCATGCTCGTCCTGTTTTGACAAACGTGGCATGTGAGCGAGGCTGGTGTCAGCTTTCTAAAAGCTTCTTCGGAATAAGCTAGATTATATTAAATATCATGTCAACATGAACTGAAAATCACAACACATTTTCTTTCTATACTATGACATATTTACAAAGGTTTGCTCCAAACCCAAATACTGCCTGATAACTTTCGGTCCATGTCTGACCCGACCCAAACCAGATCAACCTTCAAACCTGACCCGAGTCCGATAAATTTCATCCAAACCGACACCCTACCCACATAATCAAGTTTTGAGTCTAAAACGAACCCTAGCTCAGCAAAATTCTGTCTGAAACTGACCCAAAACCGGCTCCTTATCATCACATTATCAATAAAACCTGAAAGGATTGTGTAGTCATTAGATAACGGACTAATAAAAACATTAATAAAATAATATGACATGACTGGGGAGTACCAATGCTTCACAATATTGTGATATCGCAATGCAAAACTGTGATGATGTGTATTGTGAAGATGTGATAATGCATTGTGAAGAACCAGCATTTTGTTAATTATGCAATTTGAAAGCAACTGCGCTCTTTGAACGACAGTTGTAATAAATAATTATCATTATAAAAATATTGCGAGAATACCGAAACCCAGTATCATAAATTGAATCGTGGGCTGAACGTTCTGTTACACCCTAAGATTTAATTAATCTCTTGTTTTATCCATTCATCAATTCTTTATCAAAGATTCAGACAAATATTTTACCTCTACGTCATTGACTAATTAAAGAAAAAAAGGCTCCTTTTAATTTTAAGTTGACTTCAACCTATTTACAGGCGAATGTTTGTAGCCAATTTATAAATCTTGCCATAAAATGATCATGAAATTGAAGTTAAACGTGAAAATTACAGAGATTTTCTGTACTGTATGCGTTGTTTCTATTACTCTTAGACAGTGTGGAGAAGACTAAAGGTGGGGATCAGGGGCAGCACTGCAGGATAAATTTCATTGTGGCTTTACAAACCTCAAATACTCTGTTGGATGAGGGCCTGTAGATTGCAGTGGAAATTCCATTTATGACTCTTTGGTTTCTTCAGTAAGCCTGACTGATAGGTTTGGATACTGGCATCATATTATTCACTCCAGGTTCAATGACAGTTTTTTGTAAGAAAAGCCAGGCTAATATTTTGGCTAATATACAGTATGCGTGTACTCTAACTAACCGGTTCATTGATTATCTACAGTAAATAAGCAATGCTTCTATCTGGCATACAAACCAATAAGCATGATACTTCAGTAAAAGCTTACAGTGTGGAGAGATGCCAATCCAGACCTATTCTTGCTGTCTTCACAGGGTCTGTGGTTCTAATGCATATTCTTTATTACACTGGTGATGAGCAAAATGTCTGAGCTAAGGCTAATTGCTGCTTGATGGTGCAGAGAGTTGGACGTATCCAGCGCTTTGAGGTTTTGGGAATAGTGTGAGAATTTCTCACCTCAGATGTGGCTCAGGTCTGCCGTCGTGCGCGAGACGACCACCAGCTTTGAACTCCAGATCGTTATGATGACTGGTGACATTAGTATACACATCAATATGAGTGCATGAAAGGAGGTATACGTGTGTATAAAGAGAGTGGGGCTGCTGATATATTAATGTTGGTGTCTCTGGCAGGCCGATCATGAACTTTAGGAATCATAAACTGAAAAGACCCTGAGTGGAATGGTGAATATTACTGTGTAGAGCTGTAGATGGATAAAAACGTTTCATCTACTTACATCATGCTCTGGAGCTCCGGGATGAAGCTGGTGGTCTTTCCGGATCCTCTCCCTGCCATGGAGGTGCTGCTGGCTGCCATGGGGCTCGCAGCGCTGTTGCTCATCTGTTACACACACACACACACACACAAAACACAGGCTTTCATGCACCGCTCGTTTGACCGTGTGGTCCATCAAAGCCAGCGTAATTATAAACCCACTTCCAAAGAAAACGTTTCCTGATGCATCAGACAGGAGGGGAAAACGCCACATGAGACTGAACCTGAATCATGACAAAAGACACTGAAATGGCACAAAAGTCAGCAGATGTCATAAAGAATACAGTGCAGTTCAAATGTGGCTTTGCAATATTTACTTTTAAGTGTAAAAGGCCGAATTACTGTTAAGTGTAAAAGGCTGAATTGTTATAATGGAAAAGCTGGCAAATCCTCATGCTGAGGGCAAGTCAGCAGAAATTTGGAAATAATTTTTCATACATGAATGCTTCAAAGCAACTAGCCATTCAGATGTGATTAAGCTCTGTCCTAGCGCTCACCAAACAGGCTATTTACACAAACCACTTCGGCGAGTGTCAAATAGCGCTTGGGGCAAAATACTGTAATTTTCATTATCCTGGTTCCAACAGAAAATATATATTGAAGTATTTCCATAAATCATTCCCATTTTGTGCACAATCATCACTGAGTCACTGAACTCAAAATTATGCCAAATTCCCTTGTGAGAAACACTATAAAAATAGCAAAGAAAGACTTGAGTTTCAAACATCTGCTTTCACTTACGGATGCACCAACAGAATTTTTTCACTGTCAATATCAATTTAGAGCACCCAAAATCAAACAGCCACCAATACCAAGATAATGATAGTATAGCTGTAATCATTAGAGTGATACCCAAGCACTAAATGTGGACGTGTTTTACATTAACATTTATGTCCATCTAAGATTCTCAACCTGGCAATGTGAACTCAGTGTTCGATTTCATAAAGCTGCAGAAAAAGCAACAAAACCATTTAGGGGTGGGCAATATGAAATATTTTATCGATTTTCAAGGTAAATTACATCACAATATGTTTTCTGAGCATATAGTGGATACTGTGAATAGTTACATAACTAAACAAATACATATTTCATTACAAAGAGCATAATTACGCAAGTTAACTTTTTTAAATCTGGCACCGTGTAACTACTGGGGCTTTTTGTCTGTACCAAGTTATTAAACCCCAGAAAAACTAAATATCATGTTACTTAGTGTATATCATGAAAATGTCTTTTAATATTGTGAAATTATATTTTTGCTTCATCACCCACATTTAATACATCACAGTATTTACTATACTAGCACATTTTATCAATACATTCCCAGTACTTTGGTGTATCATATATCGTCATTGGCATGTGTCTAATTTTGCTATGCCATATATGGACTTACATAATAAGCCTTCTGAAAAACACTTTAATATAGACTACTGTTAAAAAAGCTTGCAAGCATATTACAAACTGTTGTTATTTTATATACAATAACAACTTGTACAATGTAGATTTAGTCTTAAACTAGACAATAAAAGGGATGGTTAGATGTTGCATTCAATATTTCAAGTATTTTGGCAACAAAAAGAAGTAAATCAAGGACAAGCAACAGACATAACACATGATTGTCCATTTAAAGGAATATTTTGTCAAGTTATCTGCCCCAAGACAAGATAGTCACTTTCGAAATATAAGGTATTATGGATATTTATAACTTCACTGACTCAGTTTAGAGTCATCTACACCTCAGATCATCTAATTAGGGATACACAATGACACTGGAATCATATCAGTATCGGCAGATATTTGATGACGCATTTTATTGTACTGAAGAGTAGAATGTTGAGGTGATGCTGGGATATTGCTCTAAAAAATCTACATTTTATTAATTTTACTGCAATTTCTACAAATAAACGTTACATTTTTCTGTAACCCTAATCCATGAAGATGTAGTTACTATTTCTATATTAATGTTTGTAATGTTTATGTATCAACATCGGCACATATATATATATATATATAATATATATATATATATATATATATATATACACACACACACACACATTTTTTTTCTAACAGATTTTCTACTAATTATTTACTACGTGTAAGTAGTTTGTTAGAATCATTTTAAATATTTTGGTTGACCCCAAACTGAGTGAACGGTAGTGTATACATCAGTATAATCAGGTCTATATAAAGACCTTTTTAAATCATGGTCTCATAAAAGAAATCGTCAACTGCTAATTATGGACCCGATTAAAGGAGCGAAGGATCTCTGATCGTGTGCTGCAGAGATAACATTCATCACACAGCTATCCACACATTTTGCAGTTAGGCCTCCTCAAATACAAACCCCTGCTAAGAAAACAAATTAACAGGATGCTGATATTTACCTGGAAATGGACCTTGTCTAATTTAAATACCCTCATTATTAGTGTGCAGAGATTTACATTTGGAAGCAAAGCCAGGTGAGTCTTTGATGGCCCACCAAATATATTTGAACAGAATCACCTGATGCACAGCTGCCCGCTTGACTGAATTCAAAACCACAGCCTTCCTATGGCAAGCCAAGTCATCAGACTATCAAATCACACAGGTGTATTGCCTTTTTTTTTTTACAGATCAGAACAATGCACTGCTGGGCAAAGAATAGTTTGCTCTATTGTTAATGACTTTTCTCAGTCCAAATGAATGCTGCCCACATTCAGTCGACATCAAAGCAGGAAGTAAGCACCACAGCAAACATTAAACTGCTAGTTCTGCAGTCAGAGACATAAAGCTAAATGATTCAAAGTGCCCCGAGAGCAGAAGCACAGACAGGACTATTTTCCCCAATAAATACATCCGAGCATAAAATTTCAAATCCTTCTGTTTTCGCCCCCTCTGTTGGATGAAAGCTTTAGCTTTTGCTTTGACTTGTGAAGGCAGATGGTCGCCATACTAGGCAAAATGAATTCAGATGTGGCAAATGAATCAAGATTACTTCAACATGCAAAGGTCTGAAAGCGTGCTTAACTTTGAATGGGTGAAACAGGGGAGCCTATTCTATTTATTGCATTTTCCTCTCTATAATTAACTAGACTTTTATATAGCTTTGCTTCTAAATTTCTTTTTCTACAGACGCCTAGTTAATTTACTCATTTAGGCTTGGGCACGGAATCCAGCGTTCAGAAGCTGAAGCGATCTAACACAAACTTTCTGCTTTTATGCTGGTACTGCAGAAATAAATAGGAAATAGCTGGATAAAAAAGCTTTAGAGAGGAAAAAATGGTTTTATTCAGTTCTTCCCAGGCAAATAAGACAATGCAAAGGCAAACAGACAAAAAATCTTTTTTATTACCTAAAAATATATGGAGTTGTGTTTATACTTATATAATGTGAATGTGTTAAATGTGTCAGTCTGGGTAACGTAACTTTGGTTTTACAATGGTTTATGTGACTGTGTCGTTTATTTCTTGATTTAATCTTTGAATGGTTTAATGTAAGGAGTCTATTACAGTAATGCAGCTGGGGATCAAAGTTGGGTTTGTCGCTTATGGCTTTCATTAATTAATCTACATTTTTCATAGTTTGCTGCCGAGAAAAACATTTTTTATGGAACCAAACACCAAAACATCAGAGCTCAACCTGACAGACTTAATGCAATGTCTATAATGTAACACATATGTTAACATATATATGTTAACAAGTAATTAAAAGTGAAAAACAAGAAAAAAATACAAATGCAAAAAACTATAAATGAGCCTAAATCCACTCTATCTACACTAACTATCCCAAAAATCACAGTCCATCATCATAAAATCAGAGGTGGAAACGAGAAACAAACTTAAAACTCGCAGCTGCTGAATCAGGAGCCGTATTTTGAGAATACACAACTCTGGAAGCCATAATGAAGTGGCCAAACGTGATCTGGTGCTATTCAAAGTTTTATTTCACTCCCACATCCTCGATACACCACCCCACACAGCTCTATGCGGCCTCCTCCACCTCCCCTTCCTTTGCATAAGAAAGTGAAATCATGCAAAATCCATGTCCCCCTATCCAAAAGTGCGGACTAAAGGCTCTGAGGCGCCTATTCAAATGAGAAATAGGTGGGATAAGCCCCTGGTTAGACGAGTGAGAGTAGTAAAATAGCTCTCTGCCAGCACCTCCCCTACTGCATGCTTCCACAATGAAGTCTGGCACCTCATCTGCTGGCTGCTCTCTCTCCTCCTCCCTCACTGCATGGCACACACAGTTCAACAAATAAGGGGCATGTGCAAAAGTAAGTTATCGGCACTGAACTGCAGCTTTAATATCTGCAATTACTCTGAAACTACATTATCCACCCACCTTTAACAGCTATTAACTTAACTCCAGCATCCCCCTTCAGGAAACTGTAGAGTTTCACACAGAGGCCATCAAATGCCAGACTGTGATTAGCTTTTTTCCTTTCTGTCTAGCCTGAAGATGAAATTAGTTTGAAATAATCGCAAATGTGTAACGAGAAAGAATTTAATGGGACTTTTTTTCTATGCCTATAACGGAGTGCGTTTCAACGCAAAGAGCTAAAATCAATCAAAGCAGTTACTCATTTAAGCAAGGAGCAAAATCTAAAGTGTGAACACATGATTAACGAATACAGCAAAAGAACAGTCTTAACCAGCTTTGTGGTTTTAGCACTGTAAGACTGTTACCGTTAACTCGCTCCACGGTTGTGAAGCCTTAATGCACTAAGTTTAAAACAGTACATTAACGTTATGAAGCTCTTCAGCACTGCAGCACCGCAGCTGAAGAGCTCAGCTCCGTCACAGACTGAATGGGAATAACGCATTTACCTCTGTGTTAATACTGACCACTGAATCCCCTCCGCATTCACTCTGAACTCATTCGGCTCCTCAAACACAGCTACCGAGCGGGTGACTACTTTTGCCGTCACGCCGCGTCGCCGCGCTGACTTATGGGTATTGTAGTTTCTAGTGATACACAAGCCTATGGCGAGAAACTGTAGTTCCCCGCTGTGTCGAGTCGCACAATAAAAGACGAAATCACACGTTCAACAGCGCCACCCAAAGTTCTTTTGGTCCTATTTCGCTCTTCAGCGTGCTCGTCTTCACCCTGACAGACGGAGCAAAACAGCCTGTTGACACCTGAAACAGGAAAAGCAGATTAGAGATTTTAAGTGGATATAGGGCTGGATTTTTTTAGTCTGTTTACTATAAATACATTGCGCAGGACACAAAACAAATATTTATAAAAGCTCTTATAAAATCTGCACGGTGGTATAAGAGAACACGTTATTTGTGAAATATTTTTGTAAAAAATTCTTCTTCTCGATGTTATTCTTCTTTTTTTTAATATTGTTATCGTTCTTGTTTATTATTATTATTATTATTATTATTATTATGCCCCATGAAACAGAAACCTAAATGCTTTTTGCCTTGAACATTTTTAAAGTAGGCCTATATTTATAAATGCCCTGCTAACTTGTTACTTAGCATATTGTTATGTGTTTGTCCCACAGCATAGTGACACTTACAGGCTATTGATTCCACATTATAAGCGCAACTGAGAATACCTTTCTGAATGTGTTACTCTGCCTAGAGGCCTATTCAACAACCTCAGCTCTAACTGTGGGTTTATAATGGTTTATGTGACTGTGTCGATTATTTCTTGCTTTCATTTCGCTTGATTTGAAAGTGAACAGTCCGTTACAGTAATACAGATTATTGATGGGTCTGAGTGTTCAGATCCGGGTCTGTCTGTTCAGGTCTGATACCGTCCAGAAGTACAAACTCTGAGTCAGTGGATGATGATGATTTGGTTTATTTGGATCTAGTTAAGTGACCGCTCCTGTGCACCACGTGCTCGCGACTCATCAGCATAATAATCGTCCCGCTTCTGCGTATATAAACCACAAAAACCTGAGCTCTCTAAGTCCCTGCCTCCAAAGACAAACCACACAACGAGACACACACATACACACACCCATCCACATACACACCAAAAAAACCGCCGCTTTCGCTCTCCTTCATCTCTAACCACAACTTTTTGGAGTCAAGTTTTTTAACCCTTCCTTGTGAGCGCGCCGCTTAGAGAGAGAGAGAAAATCTAAGTTTTTACGACTTCTTTGAGAGCCGTATTAGAAGTATTAGTCCGCTTATTCCACTTAATTTGGCTCCTTCGGACGCGGCTCGCGCGTTTTGCTCTCCGGGGTTTCTGCTGGTTCGTCCTCCGCGGCTCAGGATGCGAGAAGACTCGGTTTTGTTTGCGATCAGCACCTAAACTTCGACGAGGGACTTCGTGAAAATAGGTTATAAGGAAAAAAACATACATCTCGTCTTCTTTAGCCACTTGTTTCCCGTCGACGGAGAGAGAGAGGAGCATCAACTCTGAAACATGTGCGTGCAGCTTTAAAATATAAAACTTTATCAGCAGTTCGAGCAGCTTAACTTTAGGCTACGTTTCCAGCTGGAGCGCACGGGGAGCAACTGAGGAGAGAAAAAAGAGAAGAGAGAGACTTTAAAGTATACATATATACAGACTGAGGTTCTATGTGAAGAAGCTTTGCCTTTGCTGTGTCTGACTGCTCTGTCATGCGCATCCCGGTAGAGCCCAGCAGCAGCCGGAGGTTCAGCCCGCCCTCCAGCAGCGTGCTGCCCGGCAAGGGGAGCGATGTGAACGGCGGGAGCGCGCAGCCCGAAGCGCAGCCAGCGGCGGCTCCCAGACTGCGCGCGCACGACAACAGGAGCATGGTGGAGATCATCGCCGACCACCCGGCCGAGCTGGTGCGGACGGACAGCCCAAACTTTCTCTGCTCCGTGCTGCCGTCTCACTGGAGGTGCAACAAGACCCTGCCGGTGGCGTTTAAGGTGAGTGAGCGCGGTGGGCTTGTGCGCTTCAGGGGTCTGTGTGCGTGAATGTGAGCTGTAGAGAGGCGCTCAGGTCTGTACAACGTGTTTTCACGGCTTTTAAAAGTTGGATAAAATGGTCGCCGTGCTTTGGTTACTACTTAAAGCAGGCTGGGCATTGACTGCTTCTATCGCCTCGTACAGGTAAGAATAAACACATGCACCCACAGGGCTTATAGGCGTCGCGGAGATGCCAGATAATGCTCGTTATGTTCGGTTGCTTTTTTACAGCTTTTTTCGGGGCTGAAATGATCTGAAAACCATTCGCTTTTACGCCAGCTGTGCGTAAGAATAAAGAAAACACCTTAAAGCGCCTCTCCACAGTGATGGAGTCAGCTAAACTTTGAGAAAGTGGAGCAGCGAGCGCTGACCATGTGCCCTCGCGCTCAAAAATAACGTCGCTAGCGGGCTCTGATCAATTCTTGCGTTCAGAAAACTCAGTGAGGCTCTCAGGAAAGTCCCCAGTGTTGAATTCACACCAGCAGTCGACATTTACGTGGATCTGGACACACATGAGGGCTGTAGGAGTGAATTCAGCTCTGGGGATTTTGCTGCCCGTTTCGTCCTGGAACTGTAAACTAAAGCGATGGAAAGTACATTTTGAGCTGTTCAACGCAAGTGAATCAAGTATCTCTCTGCTAAAATGTTTTTGACCACAGGCCTGTCTCCGTGGTGGAGTCCAGAGCAGTTCGATAAGCTTCTTTTATCATCTGTAGAAGAATTTCATACAGCCTGTTTAGGTTTCTTCATATTTCTATTAAATATAATAGGCTGCAATTTTGTGTTAGACAGAAATTAAATAACAGTTCCTTTTAAAATATCTTTTTGCAATTGTTTATTCTTTATAAAAAAATCCTTAAGCTTACATACAGTATTTTTAATTTCTTTTTTATTTGAATTTTGAACGTTTTGTCTTAATTTAATTGAAATTGTGGTATTTTTAAAATACACAGCCTGTGGTGTCCGTGAGGAATTTTTTGTGGTTTGTGTGTAGTTACTGTGTTCCAGCGTATCAAATGCTATATTGCTAGTAATTCTTTATTTGTTTGCCCTGAAACTGTATGATTTCTGATTTTCTTGGACTGATGATACAATTCAGTCTTTTCTTACTTTTTGTGCGCACACTTTAATGAAAATAAGTGCTTCAGTTTGCTAAAGGCAGATCATGGATCCTCATAGCATTTTATTGCAGTTCACCTCTACAGCCTTGCAGCTGATAATTCAGATTTTTTTAAAAAACAGTCTCTCTCCTTATATATATATATATATATATATATATATATGTATGTATGTATATACTATATATATATATATATATATATAATATAATATACATATATATATATAGAGAGAGAGAGAGAGCGAGAGAGAGGGATAGATAGATAGATAGATAGATAGATAGATAGATAGATAGATAGATAGAGTACAGTTAACTCTTTTTTAACCCATATTGTTATATTTACTGATGATAAAAACAGGCTCAAAAGGCTGCTTTAATATTACTGACAGAGATCCCTTTCGTGCCGCAGGTCGTTGCACTAGGAGATGTTCCTGATGGAACAGTGGTAACAGTATGGCAGGAAACGATGAGAACTACTCAGCTGAGCTGCGGAACGCCTCTGCAGTCATGAAGAACCAAGTGGCACGCTTTAACGACCTGAGGTTCGTCGGCAGGAGTGGGCGAGGTCAGTGTCTTTTTTCTGGATTTTCAATAATTATTCATAACCGTAAGCCGTGTTTTCTTTCACTGTATCATATGACACAGCAAAACCACATATAGCAACTCATGTTTACAAGGCAAGAAATAGGGCGTAGTAGTAAAACTTCTGCATGCGGTAGATTATCCATCGAGATACCAAACCGCACTTTTACCACAGATACCCAGGGTAGGTTTGTAAACAGTTTATGACTTGAATTCATGAATACAGTCCACGCAAGTACTGCAGTCCACGATTGTTTAATATATTCTTCTGAAGCTGTATCAGTTGAAAGAACGTGTAAACAGGTTATTTGAGGGATGGCTACGTTATATATCACAGAGAGTAATTTGAGCGCTTCCAGGCTGAAAGACAAGAAAGAAGTGGGTGTGTTTGAATATTGCTGCCTTTGAAGTCTGCTCTTGTGATTTTTATGATAATTAATTATGATGGCATTTTACAAACACAGTTGTACGTTTGTACACTGTATGTACATACAGTTTGCACTGAGGTGATTGTGTGCTTTATGCACCGCAATGTTATGTTATACGCGGACGTAGGCTTTAAGTGCTCTCAGACCGGTCGTGTGTAGACGAATGCTGCTTTTGATATGGGAGCAATTACTCCCCAAAAAAAAAAATAAAAAGAAGGCCAGCCCTTGTGATCCTGTGGGAAGACCCCGTTCAGAGAGCAGGCCTTTGAAGAAGACAGGACAGGCAGATGGATCAGAGGACCAGGCAGCCTGATGCTGGAGGCAGCCTAGACTGAGGGAATGCAGTCTAGACTTGCCTTTCCTAATCTTCACAGGCCCTTGGAGTTAAGCTCTCAGGTGTTCAGTTAGGGATCCCCAGAAGGGCCTCTTGGAAGCATACACACTGAAACGTGTTGATAAATGTTCAATTAAAGGCCCCACAAAAGCCCAGGCTGAAAGGTAAAGGAGGACGTATAATTATGTGGCAGTAAATATGTAAGCTTTCTCTCTGTGGAAACAGGGCAAACACATCAGTCATCTGTCAGAAAGGACATGGTCATGCAAACACTGTTTGCTCAGGCAGCATTGACAGACATCTGACTTGCGTCCAACCACTGGGCTCAGCACATTCTTTGTCCATCGCACATCCTTACACATACCCCATGCGAGTGTGCGAGAGAGCTCGTGTGTGTGTGTTATCTGCTCACAGCTGTCACAGAGAAGAGGGCCTTGGTCCCGCATGGAGACCCACACCTCGCCAGGCTTGGGTTTCTCTATCTCTGACACGAGATCTGCAGGAGGAAGTCACAGAGGAGATAGCAGAGCATAAGGAAATTAAATATGGAAAACGATCCTGCATGCAACAAAATAGATTCGAAACAGATATGAATGCCCAAAATCAACAAATTAGAGGATGAAAACGTAATGCGGCAGTCTTACGTCCTTCAGACTGTCATAAGCCGCAGCTTACCTTGAGCCAACGCTTAATGTGTTTGACTTGTGATTAAGGACATTATCGCGAGCGCTTATGATTCTAAGACGCGTTTTCCTTTGGACTGCGAGCTAACGGTAAAAGTCTGCATTGTGATATTTTAGGTTTTTATGATACATATCATAATATTTGAAAATCGAAAGAGCTAACTGTTACTCTAGCATTGAAATGGTGCTGCTGAAATGGTGTATTAAGCAGGGGAATTAAAGGAGAACTTCACAGAGTTTTAAAATTTCTACATAATTTAAACGGTTAAGATGTAAACCAGGTCATTCAGAGTGATTTGATGAGAAATGCTCCATTCTATGTAAACTTACAAAATGTGAATTGTTCACAGTGGTGGTGATAGGAACCAGATGTCTGAAGACTTTAATGGCTCTAAAAACTACCTCATAGAAAGTTATGCATTATTAATGCATTAACTGCTTTCTGTCATTTACATTTATTGGTCTCAACCCAGCACATCCAATTCACATTCTGCCTGTTGCAGCGTAATATGATTGAAAATCTAACAACTATGATTGCAGTCTATTTAAATAATTGTGATCTTCTAAATAATTACAATTAGGTGATTATGTAATGATTTGTGATGGGACTTGTTGGTAAGATATAAGTTGTGCAATAAACAGTTTCACACCAAACCACATGTTTACATCTGAATGAGTGAATTATGCAGAAAATTTGAAAACAAGGTGGAATTCCCCTTTAAGGCAGCAGTTCAGTATTCTGATGAACTCAGTGTAAAAATTATAAACCGTTAATGCACAGCAGGGCTACGTGATATATAAAATAAGCATATTGTAATTTTATTGCTACATATGGCAGTTGGATTATTCATTTTATATATTTACGTTTATTGGATCACGTGAGTGTCTTTATTAATCAGAACACCCACAGAAGCTCTGCTGGAACATGTGAGGGTGGTCTGAGTTACAGTAGTCAGGTCAGACCAGTTCAGGGATGGGGGGGGGGTATCTTGATTTAATAATAAACAGGACTTACAGCACATGTTTTTGTCATTAACCTGCAGTAAATGAGTGGTATGAAATATTATACAAAATGTGGGCCTATACAGAACAGCATAGTAGCGACCATGAAGATACTAATACAAAAGATATTTTGTTATATTTGGAAGCTTTAGACTACTTTTAAAACCGCACAGCCTATAAGCTTAGCCTTTTCTTTGTTTTGCTACTTTTAGCAGTTTTCTTATATCGTTTTCTTTGTTTTCTCAAGCCAGACTTTGAGTCTCCTCTTCGACTCCACCGCTGTCCCTGCTGGCTGCAGAGTAACTCTTTTTTTTTAACCAATTACATATCTGTGTTTAACAGTAAGCACGCAGATAATTGTTTGAGCTAGACAGGCTTTGATTTTCAAACATATTTTATAGAAATTAAAGTGAAACTAAAAACGAGTATTTTTGTTATCATTTTTGAAAGGTGGGCCACTGTTTTGTTTGTGCGGGATGTGGGACAAACTTTCGATTTTTAGGACTGTCCCATGGTGGTCAATGCAGTCAGAGTGCCGTAACAAGTGTTAAAAAAACGTGTAATTCGTTAATGGGCTCATTTGCATATTACAGCCCCTGATATCAACACTGCAAAGGCCAATATCACGATAATGATTAGCCAGCGAACTAATCAGCCTTAGTGTAAGTACTAGTGAATCAGCCTGGACGCATAATTATCAAATAAGATAATGGAAAGACGTTTCTATTTATATTAATAATGTCAGTGAGTCGACAGGCACTTATGTAAAGTGTCCATATGTATATTACATATGTTTGGGCAACGTCTGGGAAACCGTTGTCAAGCTCATGAACCTATTGACTAAGACAGTGTGGTAAGCAATGAGAGTAGGTTGGTATTTTTAGTTGGTGGTGTGCAGTTGTTGGATACAGGCAGATGCAGGGGTTGGGCTGGTGGCTGGGCATTGGGCTGCCTTGCGGTGTGGGTTTGGGATCTGGTTACTGGGAAGGGCTGGGTTGGGTTCGATTGTTGGACACAAACTTGCATCTGGGGGCTTAAGGACAGATTCCTGAGGGAGAAAGAATGAGAACGACTTTAGCAAGCGTGAACACAGCAAGAGGGCAGAGATTTACAGTAACAGCTTCATTGAAGGAGGCAAGGTCAGCAGAGTTTAAATATACACAACTCATTGGAAATTCAGACTCTCTCTGAAATGGTAGTTTTGTGGTCACTGGCTCCGCATGTTGTGATAACACATCTATGACAACCACGATAAGGCAAGAGTGGTAGGTATGATATAGCAGTGATATGTGTGATATGATATACCTAAAAATAGATACTTACACATTCCATAATAGAACATTTAAGTTGTTTCAGCTAGGACCGGGACATATACTGGTCTTAATGATGTACCACCGTGTAAAACTTTGAAAAATTTGACATTTTAAATTCTGATAAATATGTATGATTACAATAGAAAACGGAAGTAAACAGCCTACTGCTACAGTCTTCCTGCAAAGAACGCAGAAAGAAGATGCATGTATGATATGCATTGTGTGTTTTGTAATATGGTGGGTTGTGAAACCATTGCAGCAGGAGGTGATAGAGCTCCAGAGTTGTTTTTCCCAATTAGGAGGACAACACATTTTAAAGAATTGTTATAAAAGTTTTATAAAGAAATGCAAGAGGTTTAATTAAAACATTTGCAAAATTTACAGTACTGCACAAAATCAGACACTGCCCTTCATTTATTGCACATTTAAATGGCCACTAAGTACATTATTCATTTTTTGTGAACTAACAACGATTAAGAAGAATCGAAGGTATTAAATATAAGGTAATCCACTTGCATAAAGAAAGTAACAGTCAAAGTCAAATATGTATTTAAAAAGTTTCCAAAACCAAAAAATAATAAAAAAGATTGGGACTCCTAACAACCATGCAAGAACTGCTGGACCAACAAAACAGCTTTCATCTTTGAAAGAGAGGAGGAAATCAAGCTCCACTCTTACTTCAGATCTGAAAAAATCCACAGGTGATTCTGTCCGTCCTTCCACTGTGAGAAGACGACTCAACACTATGGGTTTGAAAGATGTGTATCTATCAAGAAGTCTTTACTGAAAAAAAAATATAGGCAAAATTGAAGAACATTTGCAAATCAAACAAAGAAGCTGGTCTTCTCAGAACAATAGACTGACACTCCAGAGTCCAGACCTCAACACCACTGAATGTGTTTGGGATTACTTGGATTGAGAGAAGCAGAAAATACAAGCAACTTCTAAGACTGAACTTTGGAGGTGTGAAATATATCCCTGCTGATTTCTTCAGAAATGGACACACTAAATGCTGAAAAAAACATTAAGTTTAGTTAAATAATATGTGCACAGTGCGTTTATGTATTTATGCATTCTTAAAATTTTTAGTATATTTAATATTATTGCAATTTGTGATAATTTTGGTAACTGATAAGAAATTTTCATACAGTCCCCAGCATGATGAGACAGTCTTAGCTATTTTGTTGCATAAAATAGATTTAAAAATTAAGAGAACTAATGAGAAGAGAGTCCAATCAAGATAGCGTAGAGACAGTTGTGCATCCTGACACACGCACACAAAGCCAAATGTAGCTGGCTGCTTCATTGAGTCACCCATTTTCCGCCCACTTCTTCCTGTCTCAGCAGCAGATTGCAGCTTTGAGAATGTGTCACGCCTGACTTCACAGCATACTTTGCAGATTACTCTTGTTGCTGAGTTTGTTACTTTTGAAGCCTCTTGGAGCTTCCTGTGCCGTGGTAACAGAGTGTGTTATCTTATCATATTTCTGCTGCATATCAACATCTAAATAGCACAGTGTGTAAGATATGAAAGGCAACCTTGCCGTCCAGGCCTCTTTATCTTTAGATTAATACGTAAATGTAATAGCAACTCAAAGCTTTCATAGACAAGCTTTTTTCTGTTTGATGAATCATATGCAGTTGAGGTATCCTGGATGACCGAACCGTTTGAAGGCTTTTCACTGACTTTAAGGTCATGTGAGGACAGAAAAGGCATGATGGGGCTGGTTTAGGACTTGCATTACATTGAATACCTTCAACACATTTTTAGGTCATTAGCCTGAGAAAACTAGAAGCGAGTGTCCATGTTGGGCAACATATTAAAGAAAAATAACCACTTTAGCGTGGCATGCTACTATAAATCACTGGTAACTCTAGATGAACACTGCTTAGTCTATCAAAGTTGTTATATACTGCTATATTCAGTAAAACAATAGTAATAAAACTTGCTGACATGTCCTACAACACTTAATAAATCTCACCAGCTTTTTTTTTTTCACTCGATAGCATTATTGTCTATTGTTTGTTTCAAATGTATTAACTCCCATGGCAGTAAAAATCCCACAGTCACCATCATCATCAGCAGCAGAGAAAATGCAAATGCATAGCACGCAGTGAATGTGGGACATTGTGCCGAGGGCTAACGGGCTATGAACCTTTTTGTGTCTTGCAGGAAAGAGCTTCACTCTGACAATCACAGTATTCACAAACCCACCCCAAGTGGCTACTTACCACCGAGCCATAAAGGTCACAGTGGATGGACCGCGGGAGCCAAGAAGTGAGTACCCCCCCAAATATCGCCGCGTCATGTGATAACGATTATCACGCACAAAGAGGTGCATGCATCTGAAGCCACTGCGAGAGATGAATGATGGTGTCCAACCACGTTTGGCCTTCCCTGGCATCCTGCCCCTTTCCTCAGCCCAGAGGTGGGAAGTGGCCGCTGGTTGGCGGGGTGGGGGGAGAAAGATGATGGATGAATGGGTGCATGGATTGTGTTAGGGTACTGTTTTAAAAAATGGATTCAGCATGCCTGAATGCACAAAGGCACCCTTTGAGCAGCAACAGGCGTGCTAAGTGAGAGGCAAACACAAACACGTGCCGCCGTGCCGCTCGCCTTGCCAAAATGTTTGCTGTATCTGCCTCTCGTCTGCGTCCTTCAACGTATAGCGCAGGCCCCTCGACCTTTAACCTGAAGCTCCCTCTTCAGCACATGCATGCATATACATACACAAGGGCTGTCTGGAAGCTGGTGTTGGCTACTGATTCAAGGTTCCTGGGCTGGGCTTGTGCAAAAGATAGGAAGGAGGATGTCCTTTTCATTTGATGCAGGATATCATAACATCTCTGTTTTGTAACTCTCCATTTTTTAAACTCTTAGCAATTTCCAGTAGGAATTGGACGAAAAGGAAACGAACAGAAACTAATAGATAGATAAATGAACTAATAGAAATAGTCCAGAATTATTTAAGCTCTCACTGCATAAACATATATTAAGGTTAGAGGGGAATTCTACCTGCTTTTCCAAATTTTTCCATAGTTAAATAGATATAGTTAGAATATTAACAGAGTCGAAAGGTGTCATTCTAGAGAATCTGACTGAGTCAGAATTGTTCACAATAGTGGTGATAGGAGCCAGACGTCCGAAGGGTTTAATACCATTAAAAGATACCTTACAGAAGAATATTACATGAAATGGTTACAAACACATTACCTAATGTCTGAGACTTTGTTTAGCGATAGTTTTGCAATAAAGATTTAGCCTAAAACTTTTTTTAAAGTCATTCAGGGCAAAGAGTACCATAATCAACATTATGTATAAAAATACTGAAGACATGTTTAGACTCATTGGTCATTTTGGATAGTAAATAAGGTGGCCGTGTTGGGGTTGTTGCGCCCCCTGGTATGAATAATTTTCTTTACAACCACTATTTCACATCAAACAACTCTAAATGACAGTATTTACATCTCAATCATTGAAGTTTTGAAATTTGAAAAGTTGGTGAAATTCCCCTTTAATTGCAAGTTTAGTATCTAAAATGTTACCATTTAGGAGACACAAGGTTTTGTCACAGCAGCAATGATATGCATTATGCCAGATAATACACATAAAGTATTTAACCATTTAAACTAGGCCACACTTAAATCATCTGTCTCATTTCAACATAGCTTACATAAAATTCCTAGTAGTTCCTGAATTATAAGTTTTAAGATTAATAACTGAATGATAAGCTTAAAGTTGAAGCAGTTAAAACTTGGTCTTGCTCTGTTTTGCCACATCGGTGTGCTCGCTCTGAGAAACATTAGCTAGCTAAAAAAGCCTCAGCTCGTCCAGCTGTGCGCCTTTCGTTGGGGTGTTTCGACATGTGCAATGCAAAGAGCCTTTATGTGGATCCTGCAGAGAGCAGCTCTTCTAACATCTTATGAGTGCTTTCTATACCTGGAGAAAAAAATAACACTGCCAAATTTCAATTTTCACACGGGGCCCCAGAAGCTGTAAATACACACAAGCTGTCATGAATGACTTTCATGTGGCGCAGAAGAGAACAAGGACCATATAGAGCCTGACTGACTTCAGTGAGTGTTTATGTTAAAGCCTGTCGCAGGTTGACATTATGGTCAAAAGCCTGCAAAACTCAACCTTTTGTGGCAGACAAATCTCATAAAGCAGGCTTGGATTCCATCACCTGTTAATCATTATTGGCAGCCATGGGGTATTAAAGCATGCATCTTTGAAAATATCACATATCATCAGTCCTGCTTTTTGTACACATGGCATCATTTATTGCACTCAGTCATGAAAAATGTCAAAGCTAGCTTTATGATCCGACATGACGGTTACAGTCATTGGACTAGCATTCCTGTTTACAATTGAGATGAGCTTCTTAGTAACTGGCCTCTGACATCATGGGTTTTTTTGGTAAGTGATTATGTTAGATTGTTCACTTCCTTTTTTTTCTTCTACATGATCCTCTTGTGCTCTTTTATAAGCCCCACACTTCTCTTTAAGTCTGCTGTCCTCTTCCCTATCCATCCCTCGTTCTGCAGTCACCACAGTTCAATACTTCTGCCATCATCCATCATCACACTCACTGTAGTCCCAACCTTTGTGTATCTTTTGTAAAAAAAAAAAAGAAGCTGTGATATGTGCGCCAAGCAGCCTGGCACACAGCTGTTCCCACAGGCTCTTTATTCTGAGATACATAGATAGATATATTTTTGTCCGCTACATTTTTTGGCTGCAAAATCAATGCTATCACTTCACAAGCAGTTTTCTTTTTTTTTCCGCCACCATCCACCCCTGTTCCTCTCAATTAACACATCTGGCAGCAGAAGTTTGGAGCCACTTCATACCAGTGTATGATCATGATTCATTATTGGATTAAAAGTGCCCCGTGGCATTGCTGATTTGACGGGACTTTGATCTCACACACCCTTGGCTCATCCCTTTTTCCAGCTCTGTTCTCAAGGGAAATGGAAGTTTATGACTTCCAAACATGGCCTGTGTTGATGTAAACAGTAAGGTTTCAGTGAAGACTGTATTTGTGTACGCTGTCTGAGAGTAACTGCTGGACTGCAGACTGGGACAGTGACAGACAATGCAGTAGAGAATTGACATCCGTACCCTGCGTTCACATCGACAGCGACTTTTCACCTCTTGACGCCAAAATCACTGGTCACTCGGAAATCATTTGTGTGCTTATTTGTATTTAGTCCCCGTGTCTGGGCAGTCAGTCTGTGGGGAAAAAAGTAAAGCACCACCACCATTATTCCATCTCTGGTAGGAACAATTAGCTAGGAACCAAAAAAGGAGCGTACCATTTTACAGTGGCAGAGATAACGCGCCTACTATGCTGCTCAGTGCTCAGTTCCTATTGGTAGTTGCCACATCGCTTCGCTCTTTATTTGCCTGAAGTTCAACTCCGCTCAACTTTGTCACATCGCTGACTCCGCCCACTTCGCATCACCAATCTTCGCGGCGCCTCCTGTCGCCAGAAATCGCCTTTCATAGCCACTGTAGCTAAAATCTAATTGAACCTAAGTTTTGTCAAAAAGTGCATTACTAATTTGAAAAAATCCCTATTAGGCCAGATCAGTGTCATGCCAGCTTTTTTAATGTTGCAAGCAAGCCAAGTTAGTGTTGTAGCCTACCTGTCCTGCTACTGTAGCATAGCTGAAGTTACTTTATGGGGATTTGCCAACAACATTTTCCCCATTGTTCTTGTCCCATATATTGGCTTTATGGCAAAAAACGTGAGTTATTGCCTTGACCTACATCAATAAAGTAATGCTACTTGGTGAAAGCAACAGAGAGCAACAAGTATAAGCAGAAATCTTTACATTCCAATGAAAAACAGTTTCAGGCGCAAATTGGACGCATTCTGCGCAAACTGTTATGTAAGAAACTGCAATACAAGCCGAAACACTCAGTTTTCTTTCCCATCCATATGCATTTGAGAGAGGGCTACACAAAATGTGGGAGGATCTCTCTAAAAGTGGGCAAGACTTTACACTTTTTTACTAAAGTTTGAGTGATGCAGCGACGACGGCTGGTGTTGTGATGACTTTCCTTTCTTTTTAAAACCAGGTGTAAATTTGCATTAGCTGTGTTCTTGTGAGACGTCCTTTAACAGTGGTGGCGAACACAGAGGATAAACAGAGACACCAGCCTTGAACACCTGCCAAAAGAATGTTTACCATCAGACTTGTTTACACCAACCTTTTTAAAACTTATAATAAGATATATCTGTGTAAGAAGATGTGGTGCAAAATATGCCATAGCTGTGCTATTTTACACACTCTAAATTGAGGTATTTTGAGTTGTGCTCTACAGTCTCTATTTAGGTTGAACGGGAATTTTATTAGTGTTCTCTGAACCTCAGAACAGTTGCTACGAAAGAGTGCATTTGTGAGCACAGTTTGAATAGGTAAATTGCATTTCCATTGCAATAATAACTGGAAATGATCACAATCTAATATTGATCAATGTTCTTTCTACTGAACATGTCTTTGTACATTACCAAATTAAACTAGCTTTTCTTAGATCCCTCTACTTAAAAAGCTTCATCTCTAGGGTTTAAAGTATAGAACATTGTCTGTCTGTCTGTCTGACCCACAATGCTCATGCATGCTCTTATTTCCTCCCTCTCTCTCTCTCTCTCTCTCTCTCTCTCTCTCTCGCATCTTGTGCTCTTGCTAAGCATCAGGCAGGTGGCCAGGCAGGAAATGACACACGCAGAGGCATCTTGAGTTGTGCAACCTCCTGTAAATGTGTTGTGAAGCTGCCTCTGTTTGCCTGTTTATGCATTCCCCCAGTCCTCAGTATAGAAGGCCAAGACCAGAGACTGGCCAATAGACATTCCTAGACAAACTGACAGAATTCACAATAGCTTTATAGTCTCAGACAGTGCTTCCTTGTCTCTCATAACTCTGTTTAACACCTGATATACCTGTTTTTCTTGGCATACTGTGAGGGGGAGCCTTATAATACCTCTACATGGTAATGAAAGACCTGTCCTGTTTTGCATGAGATATTGCAAGGGGCACCATTTTAGTGATTATAGTGAAATTAGTAGTAAATCCCCTGAAGCTTTCAAATATGTGAGGTCGATCTCGTACAGTTTTGAAGGTGCACTCAGTAACTCACTTATAGGCAAGATAGATGGTTACCAATTCTATGAAATGCTTAATTTGGACAAGAATTAGCCTTCCATACTGATTATGCTGTCATGGTTGTAGAACAGATTTATTACACTGGGAATAAGGTAGGAAAATAGA